TCTTCAAGTGCATTGACAATATCTTTACAAATTTTTCCTTGCATGGAATAAAGTGTATGAGTCTTCTTGCACTTAGCCACCACCAAAGAACCCTTCGTTAGCTTCCATATTCCATCACCAAATTTGTTGTTGAAGCTTTCATCATCTAGCTTCCCAATAGAGATCAAATTGAGGCGAATGTCGGGAACATGCCTCACATCTTTAAGCAACAACTTACAGCCCAAATTTGTTTCCAAGCAAACATCACCCATGCCAATAATCTTGGACAAACCTTCATTACCCATTTAAACAAAACCATAATCTCCTTCGGTGTAGGTAGTGAAGAAATCAACTCGAGAAGTCACATGAAAAGAAGCACCAGAATAAATCACCCAATTGCTCTCTTGGCCCACAAAATTGATACAATCATCTTCACAAACGACCATGAGATCATCGGTAGTAACTGCTGTAGTGCCTTCTTGCTTCTTATCCATACTTTTGACACGCCTTTTCTCCTTGTTCTTGAGCTTTCGGCATTCTCGCTTCATGTGCCCTTTCTCATGGCAATAATAGCACTCAATGTCTTTCTTTGAAAAAGAACCATCTTTTGATTTGTCACGGCTTTGATCACGACCACGAGAAGTCTTACTTCTTCCCCTCGTTTTACTTCAGCCTCTCGTAACAAATGCTTCCGAATGAGAGGAACCTGCTGATTTTCTTTTAGTCTCTTCATTCAACAAGCTACTAGTGACTTGGTCCATTGTGACAACTCCATCGGGCGCCAAATTACTAACTGTCACAACCAAAGTCTCCCAACTTTCGGGCAAAAAACTAAGTAGCATCAAAGCCTGCAACTCATCATCAAAAATAATTTTCATAGAAGCAAGTTGGTTATCAATACTCTTTATTTCATTCAGATGTTCCGGAATAGGGCTGCCTTCTTTATATTTTAAATTAACCAACTTACGAAACAGAAAAGCTTTATTTGTGGCTGATTTCCTGTCATAAAGGCTTTCTAATTTTTTCCATAAATCATGTGCCGAAGTTTCAGTAGCAACATGATGAAACACACTATCATCAATCCATTAACGGATAACACCAACGGCTTTTCGATTAAGTCTATTCCATTCATTATCTTTCATACCCTCGGGTTTGCCACTATCACCCTCAATGGGTCCATACAAATCTTTACAAAATAATAGGTCCTCCATTTTAGTTTTCCAAGTTACCCAATTACTTCCATTGAAGCTAGACATGCGACCTACATTCCCTCCATTGATTTACACAAATAATTAAACCCAAATAAACCGTAAACTCTGATACCAGTTGTTAGGAAAAATATATGATTCCCCATAAGTGAATCAATCAATGGGAATAAAAACTAATGCGGAAAAATTAAATCAAAGGCAACACACGAATTTTTACGTGGTTCTCTCAATGTGAGGTACGTCCACGGGATCGAAATTCGATTCCACTATTAACCAAATAGTTTCCAAACGATTACAAACGAGACACAAATAGTCTCACAAACCACCTTTAGGTGAATTCTAAATTATCACAAATAAACAAGAGGAAAGACCTCACCAAATAGATAAACTAAAATCTTCAGAGCCAGAATTGTAGAAGACCCAAAATAATTAACCCAAATCAAAACCTTCAATGTAGACCTTCAAAGCAGTACCGAAACAGAGTTGCAAAGCAAAGCACCAATTCTTGAATTTGATGGCACCAATTCTTGAATTGATCAAGTCAAACAAAGCAACAATCAATACCAATTGAAGCCCAACAAATTACCAAGCACTCTCACCTAAAAATTTGCTGCTGCTGGTCACTAATTTCTTCTGAAGCCCTTAAACAATATACATCTAGATATATATATTATTGAATCTTGTGTTTTGTAATCAAACCCTAATTATATCCAAATTGAATTGGGTCTGTAAATTAGATATAATATATTAAAATATATTATACCCAAACCAAAACAAATTAAAATTCTTTTTCCAAAACCAATTGGGTCTCAAACTCCAATAAGAAGGTATACCTAACAAACGGGAGACGGGTTTTTTTTATTTAAAATTTTATATATAAGTTTAAAAATAAAAATATTAATAAAAAGTACATTATGGTTAAATGCCCCATCAAAAGAACACAAAATTTAAATAAAAAAACAAAAAAAAAATTACTTCAAACAAAAATATTCAATAAAATGACTTTTAACTAAATACCAAAAAAATTCAATAATAATATCACAAGCAAACATTTAATTCTACTTTTACAAACCTCTAGTTGATTAACAACAATGGCATTTTGTGCGTACTAAATCCCGCACTAGATGAAGTGGATAGGAACTTTGTGACTGGATTAGACTCTCTAGAAACCAAGGGGGTGGAAGACAGAGCCACTATCAAAGTTGCTCGGACAGGGTTGGCCGAAAAACCCTCTGATGTGAGAATGAGTGGTCGGAGAAGATGAAATTTTCTCTCTAGGTGTAGAGAGAGGAAGAGAAAGTGTGTCCTATGTGTGATTAGATGAGATTCAATACCCTCAATGTGAAGAGAGTGTTACGTGTATAAAAGACTTAACTTGTTTCCCAACGTGAAGTTCATGGAATTTGGGTGTTTCAAGGATCTCTTTATTGTTGCTCAAGGTGAGGGATCACAAGGTAGTTAACCATTGTCTTGATCAATATCCAACCCATGAATCACTTGAGCCATTTACTTATTAAATTGATAAATACATCTATTTCAATTGTTTAATCAAACATCGGATTAATAATTTTATTGGACTATTAGTCCAATCCCAACCTCATGTCCACCCAAACAAACGTGGCCTCAATGTGAAGAGAGTGTTACTTGTATAAAAGACTTAACTTGTTCCCCAACGTGAAGTTCATGGAATTTGGGTGTTTCAAGGATCTCTTTATTGTTGCTCAAGGTGAAGGATCACAAGGTAGTTAACCATTGTCTTGATCAATATCCAACCCATGAATCACTTGAGCCATTTACTTATTAAATTGATAAATACATATTTACTAGTACTTATTATAATAAAGATCAGAAATACAAGTTTTTAAAACTATTTACTTATGCTTCTTTCCATTTTTGTTTTACGTTCTTCAAATATTCTATCAATAAATCAGTATGGAAATTTATTTAAGTTTACGTAGTTATGCATTATTTTAATACCTTTTAATGAATTTTGGTTAGTATGGAAATTTATTCAAATTTATTTTAATAATGTTTCTTCCCAACCAAATTTATTTTGGTTAATATGGTGGGTTGGCAGAAAGGGCAATGGAAGGGTAGCAGGGGGTTGGAGGTGGCTGCAAGTGGACTAGGTGGTGGTGAGATGGAGAAGAGGTCGCAGAGTAATCAAAGGTTTTTCTTTTTTTTCTTATTAAAATATGATAAAGTTGGGAATATGGTGGGATTCAAAGAAATATAGGTTGGAAGAAATTTTAGAAAGAAGACCCAAGGAAATGGGCGATTATTAACAGCACTCCTCTTATAATAGTATACATAGATAATAAATTATATTTTAATTTTTAAAAAAAATGCTCGTCATGAAATTACCATTGTTTCTTCTTCTTCTTCTTCTTTCTTTTTTTTTTTGGAAAAATTAAATTTATTTATGATTCATCACGACAATTATTCTAAAGCATATTTATATAATCTTTTCTTCCAAATTATATTAAATAAGATTTCAATTCCCACAAAATATATATACACATGACATTAAATTATCACTATTTTGTCTTTTTTGCATAATTATTTTTACTTATAATTCCTCATGACAATTATTATTTCACTACTAAAATTTTAGCTTTTTGCGACGGTAAAATGCCGTCGCTAATACTCCTAATGCTGTCGCAAAAAATTTTTGCGACGGCAAGAGGGGGGTCGCAACTGGGGGTGTTGCAAAAGAGTTTTTGCGACGGCATTTTAGCCTTTTGCAACGGCACTTTACAGTCGCTAATAACGTTTGAAATTTCTTGACTTTTTGCGACGACACTATTTTACCGTCGCTAAAAATGTTATTTGAGACGGAAAAAAATACCGTCACTAATAGTCTTTTTTTTTGCAACTGCAAGAACACTGTTTTTGCGACGGTGGGGTGCCGTCGCAAAAAGTATTAAAAAAATAATAAAATTTCAATTTTTTGCGGCAATTTAGTGTCATCACAAAAAGTAAAACCTATAACAAAATCAATAAAAATATTAAAATTTTTTGTTTTTTGCGATGGTGTAGTGCCGTCGCAAAAAAAGAAAAAAAATCTGCGATAAAATTATTAAAAATATTAAAATTTCTCCATAATGATTGCATAATAATATAAAAATTCCTATATAAACATAACAATTTCTCCATAATAAAATATTTTTCCATTCATAATTACACATCAACAAAATTATCCCACTACACAATGTTCCATAATACATATATAATGTTTAAATACATGATTTTGTTCATAATTCAAAATAACATAAACCAAAATTAAATGTTTTTCTCATCATTCTCCGTAAATAACAAAAACAAAAGTTAGTCACATTCTCCACAGGCATGCATTCCACAAGAAGCACACTCTTACATGGGAAATATCTGAAAAATAAAAATAAAAATAATTAATGACAATATAATTATGTGTTAATATTTGACTGAAATTACTGTGTAAAAAATTTATGACACTTGCTACACTACCAAACAGATACAAGCATTAAAAAAAATTCAAGATCATAATAAACAAAATAATAATTTGTAAATAAAATTTTCAATCAATAGACATTTACAAGACAAAAAGTATCAAAAAAAAGATTTTATAAAAGATTTTACAAAAATAAAAACAAAAAAAGATCAAAATATAATAAAAAATATGATATAAGCACTTTTTCCACATTGATCACTAATCTGACAAGATTTAAAAAAAGAAAATTATTCTAATAAGGACCCTGTTTATTCAATTGGGACAAGAAGCATAAAATTGAAGGCTACAATTGCAATAGGTGGAACAAAAGATGGTCAGTTGCATGTAAAAAATAACAGAAAGACTATGTACCAAAAAAAGAGAAAAAACACCAAAATAGGACTAGACCCTCAAAATGAAAGTTTAAGAAGGAAAACAATTATATTCAAACAATGAAAACTCCTTCAGGTACTTGCTACATAGTCAAACTAGGAACAGAATGATAACAACTGAACTGAACCAAAAGAGATGATTCCAAGGTCACATAGCAGTTAGAGTGGGTCCAAGGCCATCCATCATCAAAATACCCACAGTAGGCAATGCTCTCCAATCTCCTCTCATGCCCCTCAAGCAAATGGAAGCAGAGATAACTGCTATGAAACCCATTTTATAAGCAGCAATGGTTAATTTACAATATACAAGATATTGAATGCACTAATTCAGATACATGAGAGTTTCAACTTAACCAAACACCAAACTCTCTCAGACTCTGATGCAGTTATGTACTATATGCACCATCACTATTACTGTAAATAATCAAAGAATATTTTTAACTTGAAGTGAGCACCCTCTGGTTTTAATCGTACTATACCAGTTTAATCTAGTTATGTACTAAATAACACTCATCACTAACAACCAAGCAAAAATTGTGATTGGAATTATTTTTCCCTTCCATCTCTAGTTGGGAAGTTTCTCAATTCACTTCTTGGAACCAACTATGCATTGACTCTTACATTAGTTAAACAGAATGTCAAAACATTCGTGTTGGATTTGTCATGCAAGTGAGACTATTTTGTATACATATATATATATATATTGCAGATGAGACTTATGCAAAAACTAACTTGTAGTGCCTATACCATCAATCACCAAATGAATTTTTTTTTCTATTTGGTAATCTTCCCTCCAGAGGCCACCATTCAATACTGATCTAATAAAGGAAGGCATCATTTTTTTCTTTAGCAGAATGCCTTAAATTTTGCCGAAATTTAATTTTCCTATCAGAAACCAATCATAGGGCAACTGACAAGTACCCTTTATAACCAGTATGAGCAAACTAAGAGACTACCACAAAAAAATTTCCCTGGTGTTCCACAAAATTAATGATGGCCTGATTTATCAACATATCAAAGAGAAGTAAAATTTTCAATGCAAAGAGTACTAACTTACCATCCTCATCCATGTTATCCATCTCTTCTTCTGAATGGAATCGTTTGAGTATGTCCAGCATTTTTTGTTTATTTTCATCATCAGGTTGCAATTGCCGCATCTCTTCCATTACATTTTCTCTCATGAAAGATTCAGTACAGCGTAGACAATGAGACAGCAAAAATTGACAAATGAGGTCAACATCCACTGAATTATTTGACCAAATTATGACCAAAAAAGAAAATATGATATAACATTAATCATATCTATGTATGCAAATAAACCACATAAACAAAAAGGAAAAAAGAGAAAACCTAGGAACCATTTGTGAACTAATTCTATTTTGAAACTTTTATTTGTCAGGAGCCTACCGTTTAGCTTCATTTGGCAATTAATTTACAAATTTAGACCAAAAACTATAGTTGTTCACAAAATATTTTGAAATTTTTCTTTTGATTGCATACCTTCTTCACAGTTAATAAAGGTGAATTTGGTTTCCACATTAATTGCAGCATATTAGATTGAAGTTAAAGGGAAGCTCCATGAAACAGCACAAGAGCAACCATAATTTATGAAACACGATGGTGAAGCAACATATGCAATGGCAATTTTTTAACAAACACAAGTATCGACTAGGTAATGAAACATTTTAAATATTTGATAATGACCCCCTGGGCAGACTATGATGGGTTTTGAAGACTAGCTTGTTATGAAACATATGTTGATGGTGATCACTTAATATTTTCTATATGAACATAGTTGCATTGACTAAATCCGTTAAAATGTTTATGTGTGAGCTAAAGAAAACTTCCCCAATACTAAAAAATATTAATGCTTAAAGATTTAGATGGTGTACTCATAAAAAGTAAAAAAGAAGAAAAAAAATTCAGAAGGTGACAAATTTGATTGATGAAAGCAATTGCATGGTATACGGCTCATTGGAAAAAATCTACTAATTATTATGATTCATTGGTTCAAGTAATTTATAGAAATGAACATCTTACCATTTGCTGCAGAAGCGGTCTCCTCTTCACTCTTAGCAGCAGCGTTTCCATGCCCATCATAAGCAAGCCTCCTGCTCTTTATCATTAGAGGATAGCCAAATAGTTCGCCAGCTCTCTTCGCACTTTCAAAATCATATATCTGTCTATGCCATATTTTTAATATTACTTAAGTAAAAAAAAAACAAGGATATCGTAAACTAACATTTTCAAGGACAAAGAAAAGTGTGAATTGGTAACTAAATCCTCGTGCCAAATTCTTAAAAGTTGTAGCTAACCTGCATAAAATCAGGACGTGGAATGCCATGACGCGAAAATGAACTTTTTGGAGAAATTTATCCTGAAAAAGGTAAAATATAGTCCAAAAATACAAATTTCATCACAAAAACAGACTTGATAATTGTTTGAATAAAAAACATTCGAACTGCCTATCTGTCTGTTTCATTACAAGAAAATATAAAAATGAAATACCTTAATAAAGATAATTGTATTTAACTTAGATTAATTTATCACTACCAAATTTCTCACAACAAAATGTCTACGGATTACCAAATTGGTAGATCAAAAAGTCCACATAGCAAAAAGGGGTAAACAATTTACAAACAAATAAGAGTAACTACAAGAATAGATTCAAAAGATTAACCAAAAACTCAAAAGAAAAAAAGAAAAAAAGAAAAAGGCAATTGTTCACAAATGCAAAATTATATTCTGCACAATGGCATCCAAAATTCAACGCAAACCTGTATAATTCAGATAGTAGAGGCCTTGGGTTGACAATCCACCCATTGTTGTTCTAACTTCTCTAATGTCACCACATCAACATGCTCAATTTCAACAGTCAACACTCCACACCTACCCACCAAAAAAATTAAAATCAGCTTGTAAAAATCAATCAATCGACAGTAGAATAAAAAATAGATAAAAGACAAAATTCCAATAAAATCTCTAACCTTTTGGCAAATTCTTGGACCATGGCACTATCATCATAACTCCCCACCATATGATAATGTGATAGTGAACTTGCAGGGCAATTCTCCATTAGGTCCAATACAATCACCTTAATTGCCAATTGAGACGCAGCTTGACATAGCATTCGACCCAATTGGCCTTCTCCCTATACACCCACAATTATCTCCGAAACCCCATGTACAGGTAAATCATCATTCCTACACATAAATCATTCATATATATATATATATATATATATATATTAAAGTTCCAAAATTGAATTCGTATATATGTATATATGTATGTATAGATAGATGTGATTGAGAGGTGATAGGAGGAACCTGTGAGAAGTGCTGGGAGGTTGGAGAGAGGTTCGAGAATGAGGGTGGTGGTGCTTGAGAAGCATTGGAGAAGAGGAAGACGAACTGCTCCTCCTCCGACCAAATTAAACCAAATTTTGCTCCTCCTCCTCCTCCGACGACGCTGCTCCGACGCTGCTCCGACGCCGCTCGCCGTCGATCGCGAGAGAGAGGGGGGTAAGAAGAGATAAGGGATTTTTGGGTTTGAGATTGGGAATTTTTTGTTTTTTGAGGGGGGGGGGGGAATTGGAAAAAAAAAGGGGGGGAATAAAAAAAGATTGAAAATTTATTTGTTTCATTTTTATTTTAATGAAAAAAAATATTATTATTTTTTATTTGGTAGAAGTAGGGGTAAAAAATATTTTTTTTTGTCAGAAATGAAATTTAAATATCAAAATAATGTCGTTTAACTTCTTCTTTTTTCTTTTTCTTTTTTTTTGTGACGGGGTTGCCGTCGTCAAAAAATTTTATTTTTGTTAAAATATATATTTTTTTGTAGTTAATGAATTTTTTAAAAAAAATTCTTTTTTTTTTAGTTACTAAGATTGAAAATTTATTTGTTTCATTTTTATTTTAATGAAAAAAAATATTATTGTTTTTTATTTGGTAGAAGTAGGGGTAATATTTTAATGAAAAATATTTTCCACTAAAGTAAAAGTTAATTTTTTGTAGTCAATGAAAAATATTTTTCTGCGGCCTATTTGTTTTGGTTACTAAAAATCATGAACTAATTTTTTGTGGTAGAGGAAAGGGAGCAGCAGTAGTGGTGAAGGTGGTGGATAAGAAATGATGGTGATGGTGATGGCGAAAGAGATTAGAGGTGAAGTTGTGATAGTGGTAGTATAAATGGAGTGGCAGGGGTGAATGAGAGGTAATGGTAGTAGTAGTGGCAGTAGTGGTAATGGTGGTAGTGGAGTAGTGGCAATGGTAGTAGTAATGGTAGTCGTAGAAGTGAAGTGGCGACAGTGGAAGTAGTGGTGGTGGTGGAATGGCGTATGTAGTAGTGGTGAAGATGGTAGAGGAGATGGGTGGTGAAAGAAAGATATGAGTGAGAGACAGATAGAGAAGATAGAGGAGAGAGAGACAGAGACAGAGTGATGAGCGAGAGATAGACAAAGTGGTCACTAAAAGTGTATTTTCTTGTAGTGGACTGATAAATCGAGAAGGAGCTCAGTAAATAGAGAAGACGGGAGTGAGAGAGTGAGCAACGCAAACACAGTGGGAGAGAGAGAGAGAGAGAGAGAGAGAGAGAGTGAGAGACAGAAAAGAGATATAAAGAGAAGAGAAATGGACGAAAGAGACAGAGAGAGATAGAGAGAAGATAGATGAGCGAGAGAGACATAAAGAGAAGAGAGATGAACGAGAGAGATAGAGAGAAAGATAGAGAGATAAGAGATGAAAGAGAAAGATAAAGAGAAAAGAGATGAACGAAAGAGACAGAGAGAGAAAAGAGATAAGAGAAGAGATAGATGAGTGAGAGACATAGAGAGAGAGAGAGACAGATAGACAGACAGACAGAGAGAGAAGAGTGATGAGTGAGAGAGAGAAAAAGAAGAGAGAAAGGAAGATGAAAAGAGAGAGAAAAAGCGAAAAGAGATAAACGAGAGAGAGACAGAGAGAGAAGAGAGATGGGAGAGATAAAGAAAAGAAAGATGGACGAGAGACACACAGAGAGAGACAGACAAACAGACAGACAGAGAAGAGTGATGAGTGAGAGAGAGAAAGAGAAGAGAGACAGAGACATTGAGAGAAAGAAAGAGACAAACAGACAAAGAAGAGTGATGAGTGAGAGAGAGAGAGAGAGAGAGATAAAAGAGACAGAGACACATAGAGAAAGAGAGAGACAGACAGACAGATAAGAGTTATGAGCGAGAGAGAGAAAGAGAAGAGAGAAAGAGGCAGAGACAGAGAGATAGAAAGATGAAAAAATGAGTGAAAAGAGAAATGTTCAAAAGAGTAAGACAACGTTGTTTTTATTTTTTTATATATTTTTTTTGTAACAGAAAAATACCGTTGCATTTATTTAAACCATTTTATGACTATATATATATGAAGCCGCTCAAAACCACAATATATATATATATATATATATTAACTTTTTCTTTTTTGCAACGGTACGCATTACAATCGCAAAAAACTCTTCCCGTTTTTCTTTTTTTTTTGCTACTGCAGCTGGTACCATCGCAAATACTCTATTTTTTTTTTGCGACAGCAATTTCTGCCGTCGCAAATACTCTATTTTTTGCGACGGCAAGTTGTGCCGTCTCAAAAAGTCACATTTTTTGGCGACGGGAAGTTGTGTCGTCTCAAAAAGTCACATTTTTTGGCGACAGGAAGTTGTGCTGTCTCAAAAAGTCACATTTTTTTGCGACGGCAAGTTGTGCCGTCTCCAAAAGTCACATTTTTTAAGACAGCAAGTTGTGCCGTCACAAAAAGTCATTTTTTGCGACAACAAATGTGCCGTCGCAAAAAGTTCCGTCTCATAAGCCCACTTTTCTTGTAGTGTTTTTAGAATATTTAGTAACCAAGCCCACTTTATGAGCTAAAAAAACATAAATCTATACTATCTAACCTATATATAATTACAAAATATTGTAGATAATTAAAATTAAAAGTTCCAATCATTTTTTCTCAAATTTTAGATTTTTTAAATTGTACAATTACACATATTTAGTTCTTTCTGTTAAACTTATTTATTTTAATGATTTATTTAATTATGTTTTAATTTATTTGAAAGAAAAAAATAGAATCCAAAATTTTTTTTGGTGATTTATTTAATTATATTTTAATTTATTTGAAAAAGAAAAATAGAATCCAAAATTTATTTTGATAATTTATTTAATTATGTTTTAATAGAATCCAAAATTTATTTTGATGATTTATTTAATTATGTTTTAATTTATTTGAAAGAGAAAAATAGAATCAAAATTTATTTTGTCCCATTATTTATCAACTAAACTTTTATCCTAAATATTGTTTGAATGTATTTAATATTTGCTTAAATTAGGAGTTCATTTCAACCCAAAAATAATGCCCAAACCAAATGTACAAACAGCCCAAAACAAAGGTTCAAACAGCCCAGCACAGCAGCAGGCGAAAAGGTTCAAGTGGAAGATATTCAAATTAGTAATGATGGAGTGGAAGATATTCAAATTAGTAATGATGGAGTGGAAGATATTCAAATGAATAAAACGGCTATAAACGGTTATAAGTTTCATTATATACACCAAAGCCTCTGATATGAACAAGACATAGCAACTATAAACAAGTTACAGAAACCAGAAAACATTCTTTGATCTAAAATCACTCTCATCTATTCTCTGAAAAATTTTCTGAGAAGTGTTCTTCAATTTTTGTTTACATCCTCTCTAAAAAATTATACATTAAGTAATATAGCTTTAAGCCCATCATTCCTGTGTAAGAACTACAGAAAAATCAAAGTCTTATTTTTATATCTATCTTTGAGAGATAATTCTTGTAGCTTTCTGTGAAAGCAAAAACACCTTCTTTTCAATCCTGTAAGAGTGTAGTACTCTTAGTGTTTTTTGGACTTAGAAAGTCTGTATAAAATCTGTGGAGAATTGCTCCATCTATGAAAAGGTTGCTAGCACCCTGTGAAGTTAGAGAATATTGAAAAATCTCAAGTGAAGCTTGATGAGAGGGCGTAGACCGAGTTGAAACCGAACCACAATAAATTTGTTTGCCTCTCTCTCCCTTATCTCTTTATTTTATTTAAATTGCCATAGCTATTTTTCATATTTTTGTTGTGCTAAAATCATTAATTGACATAGTTGTTAGAACACTTGTTTTAATTATTTTTATTTCATTAACTATATTTATCTATTGTGCTAGACATAATTTTTATTAGGGTATTACTATTTTTATTTGTAAAAACCTAATTCACCCCTTCTTAGATTGGCTTTTGGGTAACACTTTCATTTTTTTTTTCTTTTATTTTAATATTGACTAATAAGAAAATCTTTTTCAAACTTCTAAAAAGAAATCCTTTTTAGGTTTTATGCTCCTTCCAAATGTCAAATATGACAAGCTTTTCCAAAATCATATTTTTAAATTTTAAAACTACAGCAATTTTACTTATTTTTTTGTTTTAAATACTCATGTTCAAATTATTAATATCTATTAATGATATTTTTACAATTATATTTTAATTTTTTATTTTTAAAATTTAAATTTGTATTTATTTATTTATTTAAATCCTTCAATACTTGAAGGACTTGAATAGTAAATTTTTTTTAAATACAAATTAAATTATCATTTTTATTAAAGACAAAAAATTTTGGAAAATGTATGATTATTTTAGCAATTGTCAAAATGGTAGATCTTGTAAAATATTTTTTCAATTGTCAATTAAAGAAATTACCATCAAAAGCTAAAAAAAAAAACCGTTTTTAGCTTAAATAGCTAAAAACTGACTTGCTAAAATCAAATAAAAAGAAATGTTTTTTTTTTTCATAGTTAAAGTAATGGTTTGGGAAAATTCTATTTCCACACACCATATTGTCTCTGTCTACACACTTAATGAACTTTATTTTTATTACAAATTTACCTTTAAATAAAATGACCAAAATAGACATTCATCCACACACTTAAACATCCAAGCTAGAGATCTCTGTACACAATTTCTTATTTTATATTCTTTTTTTTTTCTTCAACTTTGGGTATTATATGTGAATTAATCACTGGTGATTCTTTTATTTCGTAGTTTTTCCCTTCTTTGCTCCGTTATTCCCATTTGTTCGATTCTTTCTCGACAAATATGTATACACAACACTCTTGAATGGATACGATTGATTCAGAGCAAAGAAGGGATGATTGTTCGAAGACCCATTTGTATAGATGTGAAGTACCTGATTCACAACACATGTGAATCGCTCAAGAGCAAAGAATCGAACAGGAGCACAGAAGGGATGATTGTTCAAAAACCCATTTGTGTTGAGAAGGGATGAATAATAGAGCAAACAATCAAAGACCCATTTGATTCACAACACTCTTGTAGAATTTCCCTGAAATTAAGCAAAACCAAACAGGGTCTAAGAGTTCGACAGATGGACACACACACATCTTCAATTTTCTCTTCCTTTACGACAAGCCTAACTTCGGAAGACAATTCAGTCCCAAGTACAGAGAGGT